TTTATTTTCAAATAGTTCTGACGTAGTGAGATACCTGGTATATTTCAGAACCATGTACAATAGTTCAAGTATTTTTTTGCTTTTACCGCCATTTTCAGCAACTGTGGCCATAACAGCAAAAGTACCAAGCACCACAGAAGGTCTGTATTTGCAAACAGTTATATTTGATCTGGAATGATCCTTCATACCCTTAAGAAAACTGAAGCATTTCACGATAGGGCCCAATTCTGGCCACGATGAATTGCGTTGTGCCACTCTCAATCTAACATACATATTTCAGTTGTGCGAACCGTGTTATGAAACGTACTCTTGTGTGTTTAGTAGCATCGCACATCAACCGAGAAAGGTTTTTAATCCAACAATAATTACTCGTTTTACCCTGGTGAAATGAAGTAAATTGATGGGCTCTTTTTTCGCGTTTAGTTTTAGAAAGCACGTAAGTGCCTTATTTCTCTGTATAACCAAATACATTGATGTCTAATTTCTTTTGTGATTCGATTGTGGAATCTGTGACACAGGTGTTGGAAAGTCTTTTTTTTTTTATTTAGGCCGTCTTCTTTAGTGTAAGTCGAAATTCTATCCTTGTGTATATAGTATTTGGGGATTAATTTCCAACTGATGCTTTACGTGATCTGAATATAATTGAAAGACTCTCTCAATGCCCAGCGAATGCACTTTTGATCTTTTTTTATTTTTGACGTTGACAATTGCAGTTTTAAGCGCAAAATATTTTGGAAGTGGAATATAAGTGGCTTCAACTGGATAATATTTCACTACGTTGATATAAAACGCAACTACTTTTTCAAACACCCAACCCAAACCACGCTGCTCGTGAGTTTCCACGTCTTCTAGATGTTTTGCAATTTGCTAATTTAACGCTTTTTAAATTTCTTTTTTAGAGAAGACTGCGTTGTTTCTATTTGTAAATGTGAAAACGCTGAGTTTAGTTTCTGCTCCGGGTTTTTCCATTTCAAACTAGACCTTGATTGCCGTTTGCAGTTCATAAAAACTGATTTCTTAAAACTCGCCTAGTGCTTTGTCTTTGATGTACTTTTTGTAAAAATCAAAAAGTGGACGAAATCGTCGGCAAAGAAATCAGGTATCAGTTCCCAATTTCTGTAATTTCTATAAAAAGTGCCTAATTCTTCGAACGTCTACTTCTTCCATCGGCTTAATTAATATACGCTTTAATCGCGGTGATCAAGTCTATTCGTAATGTTCTCCCCTTTGAACCCGTGGCCGTAATTATTATGTCATTATCTTGCGCTATCTGTAAGAGTTGGCGATATGATTGGCGGGTGAGATTTCTAAATTGTTAACTTTCTTGAATCGCTTTTACGAGTTCCGACCATGTGTGACTTTTTTTTAGCGGGCGGCGGTTATGGAATGTTACACTCTTTGGCAAGGTCAAATATAAATGATTTTTCAACAGCCTAAAATCCGATTATACAGGACGGTGTTGTGGTTTGGTTTCTCTGTTCGTACCTCTTTGATGTTATATATTATGGTTTTAAAATCTCATTTTCCCCAGAGCGCCCCCGAGTGAACTATTTTTTTTGGGTAGTGAAAAGACCCCCGGGGAATTCCCCTTTTGTGTGTTTGGGAGTCACGAGGAAGTCGCGTTGGGGTTGCGCCAGTTTTGGGGTCGCGCCAGTTTTGGGAAATCCCATGCTGGCTGGGAAAGGGAAAGGGGTGCTGGTGTGGAACATACCGGTCTCTACTACTGGTGGATCGATCGAACAAGTACATGTACATGTGAAACGATCAAGGGTCAGAGTTAAAAAAAATCACTGCGAAATTGTGACCAAAAAAAAAACACGGACGACGGTCGAAGCACGACGGGCGAGGCACGACTGGCGATGGACGACGGGCGACACGACGCGCGACCGAAAATGGCATGTTTGGAACTGGTAAATGGCAGAATTTGGACACAACAAAAAGCAAAAGGCGACGGACGACAGGCGACGGCAGATATGGAATTCCATACACTTGTGCGGGAGGCTCAAGAAATTCAACAACTATTTGTGTGTACGTAAGTTCACATTAGTGGCTGACCACCAACCAATCCCCTCGATATTCAACTCTGCAGAGAACATTTAAATGACTACGGCCTCCTGCATGCTGCGTAAGGTAGTATTTCTTGCTAGCTACGACTACAACATTGAATACAACAATACAGCTAAATATTCTAACGCAGATGGACTTTCAGGAGTGCCACTTCCAGGGGTCAGATAACAGCATGCTGGTCCGGAGGACCTTTTGCACTTGTCGCAATTGGACACGCAAGGAAACTGCTCGTGATGTTGTTCTTGGAAAAGTGTACGAGTTCACAATAAGAGGCTGGCAACACTTTCACAAGTCGGAGCTGAATTCATTTCACAGAAGCAGGCATGAACTGCCCACTTAATGGATGGCTTATATGTGGGGACTCTGTGGTTGTGCCTACCAAGATACGAGACTGGGTCCCGGGTGAGCTACGTGCGGGTCATCTAAGGGCTGTGGAAATGACCCCCCCCTACGTGGTTACACTTGGTGGCCTGCCATTGACAGTGACATTGAAACCTCGCTAACGGTTGTTCGGAATGCTAGTTAGTTCAGAATAACCCCGGTCTGCACCACTTAACATATGACAATGACCACTGCTGCCATGGCAACGCATCCACACTGACTTTCCTGGACTGTTCCTCGGTCAAGTAGTTTTTAACATCTGAATGCACACTACAAACGGTCTGAAGTGGTGAGCACCAAATGTCAGACTCGCCTCACACTGTTGACATTCTCCGAGCCATCTTTGTTCGAAATGGAGTTTCAGAGAAAGTTGTGAGTGATAACGCTCCCTAGTTTACATCCGATGAGTTCCAGATATTCCTGAAACGCAATGGGTGAAACACATCACTTCTGCCCCCATCCCTATGAAAGCGTATTAGGGCCACTTGCAGATTTTTTTTCTAGATACTATCTCACCGCGGCGAGGTACTATCTCGCCGTGGGGACTTACGCACTCGCCGCGGCGATTTAGCTAAAACTAGCTTATTTTGCTGCATATCAATACTCAGTCTAGATACCAGACGCAATGATTCTGACCACCGATGCTCTTCTAATCAAGGGCCGTTTTCGAATACTCAAGTTCGGCTCCTGTAAGCGCACTAATTAGTCTAATAGAGCACAAAACATCAAATAAGATGCAAGAGAGCAAAAACTTAAAGTAATCCAATTTTATTTAAACGCTTCAGGCTCACAATCAGGGACTGGTTTCGGGGATGACGCCTGGGACGGAGACGAAGTTGAGTACATGCACATGCACTCCGGTTACTAAAGTTCGCTAATAAAATTAGACTGGTTGTATATCTATACATTTTCCGTCACAAAGGCCTGAGCATGGCGGGGTATTTCCCCATACACCACAAGCCATAACAATCAAATAAGGAAAGTGTATCTTCAACTAACTCCTTCTAAAACCCATAACCCAGT